TAGCTGAGCGGCTACGCAAAATGAGCTCTCTCGTGAAAAAGACTGTTTTGCCGGTGCGCTGATCTTCCAACGATATAATCGTGCAAGAAGGACATTACGCGGCGCGTCTATCCCGTCCCCATCCTCTCGTATCCGCTAGGGAAAATTATTCTAAGTGCTGACCTAAGTATCCCGCCTAAGTAGATTACTTGGACCTATAAACATGCCGCGGGCACGATGAAAAATCTCCTGCATGTTATGCAAATTGTGTATCTGCGTGGAAGCGGCGTCATTAAGTTCGAATATGACGCTTAACATCGATTTAAAATCGATTATGGCACTCGTCGAACTGGATTATCTGCATATTGTTTTTGTCGCAAAGCGAAATTTTGAAAATGAAAATTAAGCTTTCAATTTTACGCTTATCGAATAATTTTTAAAAAGTATTTCCTGAGTTTTCCGCGTTTCGTTGCTTCTCCGAGTCTTTGCGTATTATTTTTAAATGATACTGTAGATAGAGTTGGAATAAAAAATAGCCGTTTATTAACTTCTATCAACTGAACATAAATTATAATGTTATATTATTATCAAGATTGAATTTTTTTTTTACAATGATATAATTTTATTCGAATTATAATAACAGAAAATTGATATTTCGGAACAGTTTTAATTACGCGACTCGTATGCTTATTTACGATCTGCATTTAATTTGCCAGCATTAACTTGAAATTAAAGAGCGATTTTGAGCGATTTTCGTCGAGCGTTCCCCCTCTTGTAATCCCCTTATCATTGATTATGCGGACATTAATATGAACTGGTAAGTTTAACGAGTATGCGTCTGTGAATTACATCGAGCGAGTGCAAATAAAGCGGATTTATCGAGTTCGTACTCTCACAAGCAGTTGCTTCCGATGCAATTATTCGCGTCTTACCGCTGTTAGGACAACCATTTCTCTTTCCTCCGTAATCAATTTTCGCTGCTTTGAGATAACCGGCAAGAGCAACGTTGTCGCGGCTAAACCAGATTAATCGCCGGGTGACACTGACGAATCAAAGGCTACCACCACCAACTATCACATAATCCCGGAACAAAGCCAGCTCAGGTTTTTACTTAACGGTCCTTGCGCTCGTCGTCTCCTTTTAATAAAACTAAAGAGAAATAATTGTCAAGATAACAAAATACTAGCATTTTTCCTGCTCTTAAACATCGAATAGCTTTGAATACACACACAAACATTGAGTTGCAACTACCAATACTTTTTCAGTCAGTATATTTTTCTTCGTAATGTGATACAAGGTTTCGAAAATTTATATTTGATTGTGTAATAAATAATTTCGGATTTTTCAGAAAGTTATTATTTTTTTACACAGCGTGCTTAAAAAATCCTGATACAGACAAAACTTGACAAACGAATATTTTATTTGCGTGTTAATTAAAGTGCGCTTTGCTTGACAAAACAAAAGTAGACAGATTTATTCGAAAAATCCGAACATACACAAACCAATATAAATTTTCGAAAAAACCTTTTTCCTGCTGCAAAACATTTCACATATTAATATTGTTTAAAAGGTTAAAAAGAAGATATTTAATACATTTTTATTTTGATCTTAATACGATAACATACGAAGGAGTAAATTAAAGAATAAAAACATAAGAACAAGAATTAAAATAAAGAATTAGAATTTAAAAAATTACACATTAGTATAATTCTTACGTATTCGCCTATCTCGTAGTTTTATGTACAAGTGTACATACATATGTACAAGTGTATTTACATATGTATGTCCATACATATGTATATCAAAAATACGAGATGTAGGCTCGGCTATAATGCAATTGTTTCGAATCCCGGAGGGACTCGTAGCGCTGGAATATTAAAATAATCGATTGTTTCGTTTTCTATCTTGCGCACTGGCCGCGTACCAAAACGATACCCGCGAATTACATCGGCCGATTTTCCATTTAATCCTAGAAGCTGATTTAATGGTCGTACATTTGTTACGGGCATTAGGCGCGCTCATTATTTATCGCGGACCGATAAATTCCGCCGTGGAGGCGAGTGTTTAATTTTACACGCGTCCGAGAGCAATAATTGGGAGGATGAAAAAGCCCCATAGGCAATCATTCGCGCGTATTTATCGGAAATTGATAAGCCGTCAAAGGATTCAAAAATATGAATTTACCATACTTTATTGATTAGGAATAATGCCGTTATCGAGAAATGAATTTTATTTTTGCGAGCGTGGGCAATTGCACAGTTGCTATTTTAATCGTTTGTGTAGAAATTACATTATTTAATGTAATTTACATTTTTACCTTATTTTTCAGAATGGGATTCATTTAATTTTGGTTATCCGGTAATTGTCTTCGAATCAAGCTTCAGCATTTCTCCAAATATGCGGGAAACATTGGTAATTAAACTACCGCACGATTGATTCGATCTAATTACTCTGTCAGTTCAAATATAATTTATGATCCTATGTCCAGCATAAATTATGCCGCTAAAGCAACTCGATTACCTCGATAATTAGAATGTAATAGTACCATAATGCGTCGGAAATGTACCTCACGATTAATTAATGTGTTATTAAATCGCAATGCTGAATAATTTACGACTGTGCGGCGTGACGATCTTGCAAATGTATATATATGTACTTCGTGTAAAAGTGTTATACATATTAATAATTTCCCCATCTATCATTAACGATCGTTGAACTTGAAAGTGCGAATATCTGTCAGTTCATTTTCTTACATAGAAACGCAATTTCTAAGATAATATCTCTCTTTGTTTATTTTTAAACATCGATAAATCGTTATATTTTTATTGCCTCTCACGAAAACGTTACACAAAGCCAGTGTACTACTTCTTCGACTATTAGCTTCCTCTAAGCAGTTTATTTCAGGCATGCAAAATCTGATTTCCGTAGCATTAATGTGCGCGTGAAAATTGATACATTATAATTGAAGGTGTAAATTTAATTGCGATATTATCAGCTCGAGAGCCGTTTCGCTCTCGCGAAAGCGGCTCGTGAATTCGTCCTGGCACCTCGCCAGGAATTTCACGGCAAAAGTTTCACACACACGTCGCTCTCGCTCGCCGAGTTCTCGCGCGACGTTCCTTTTCGAAATTCCTGCTTCTTCGCCGACAAACGGGGACCGTCCGATTGGCGACACGGCGGGTATTGCTCGCGCGCCACAGGGTGATTTCCCTTGGAAATTGCAACGTGAATAATTTGTCGCAATATGCTGCGTTGCGCCGGTGTCATGAAATATTTCTCTATCGGGCTGCATCTTGATTCGCGCTACTCTTAAAGCGTCCCTGAAGATTTCGACTTGCGCGCTCAACTTTGCGTAAGTCGCAGGACGCGATACAAAGAAGACAAATGTTTGCGCTTCAAGGGAGAAGTCATTTCCATTTTGCGCGATTTTGATTTATGCGGTAATATATACATGGCGTATTACAAACCAGAAAATTGGCTCCTTGTTTATAACAGAAAATTGCAATTAATTAGAAACCTTCGAACTGGATGGTAATTAATTCTCGATTATATTTGACAACTAAATGAATCTCTTGTGATTTTGCTTTTTAATCAAGGCAATAATTAAATTGTGCAATTGTGATATCAACTCCCGTGGTGGTCGCAAAGTGATATCCAATATTGCTTAATTATAATTGTTTACTAGAAAATATTCTGAAATAGTGATCGTGCTGTAGTTGTGTTCAGCTCGCCCCGAGCAACGGAAAAATACGTGAAAACTTGCCAAGTAGAAACAATTATTTTCTGCGAACGCCAGGAAATCTGGCCACTCGCTGAGTATTATTCCTGTCCGAGTTAACTGATAAAACTTCTTTCCAGAGTTTTTCAGACGTCAGCTATTTCTTAAGCAGCAATCTGCAAGCAGCGAGCCGAAAGCATCATGCGTACGCAATGCTCGTCGTCATTATTTCGTAAAATAAATAGTTGGGCTAATGTAATTTTATCTGTATGAAGTAAACTGCTAACTGTTAGTCACAAAGAATTATTAAGGTATTTAATGCTGATGAAAAAAGTAGAGACGAAAGAGACGGTGTTATCTGTTTAAATTTTCACTAAGAAAACTTATACTTCGAACGTGTCAAAGAGTGTTCATAGATTAACGAAAAGTACGGGAACTGGCTTGTATAGCTCCCTCTTAGAATCGCCGGTTTCGTTTCTTCTTGACGTGGCTGAAATTGCGCGCGCGAGAGAAAACTTTCATTCCAACTTACGTTAAAGCGCGCTGAAGTTCGCCGGGAAACATTGCCGGCGAAGGAGATGCGATTCGCGAGACGATTGCGCTCAATTTCTCTCCGTGCGAAAAGGTGCTATTGCTTACTGCTTCATCGTACAAATGCGCGGCCGAGGTCTTGGTGCTGGCCTGCAATACCGGAAGTAGAGCTGAATGTCGCGCTTCTCCGCCGGAAATGTCTTGCTCCAGCGTCCGGTCCACGAACCGGAATCGAGGCCTTGCATGTTAGCTCTTCCTGCGCGGAATTTATCATCCCGGATCCCCGAAGACCCGGGAGGATTTCCCGTCGTTCCTTTTCGACTCGCGATAATACGAATCGCCGTGTAGCCTCCGGCGAGCAGGATTATGCCAGTTTACACGGCCCGGTTTTTCGCGTGGATCACAAGAAATCGAGGAATTGCTATCGACGATGCAATTTACTTAAGAAAGTAAAAGAACGTAATTTACTGTGTTTGAACTGTAACGAACTGCGAACGGAAGGATATAATCCGCGCATAAATATTTATCGCTGAAACTAGCAGTAAATCTTGTATCGCTGTTAGCGTTAAACGTAATTATTTAATATCAATTAAATTGTCAATGTCAAACGAAAGCGTAGCTTGGATATTTACAATTCTTAATTAGTTTGCTTATCGTTAATTGTGCAAAATGAATGAAAATAATATTAAAAATACATAATCGGGCATTGTTCATTATGTTAATATGTTTGCAAAACGTTTTTTATATTAAAATAAGAGAAAGTAACGTTTCGAAACTGGCGTATTGATATTGAAAAATAGAAATGCTTAGAGTAATACAACATCACTCGATGGGGTGGAAGTCGGAAATCCGCGGATAAACTCCTTCGCGAGCGGCCTTGGTTTCCTCCGAGCGAGCCGTGCTCGTTTCTTCGATCGATTTTTCCAGCAGGAGACCTCCGAGAAGTGTCTGCAGATCCTTCGTAAGCGAGGGTGGCGCCCAGACTGGAGCGCAAGGATCCGTCGTGACGACCATACGACTCACCTTTCTTCCTCGCCGCGCCGCGTGAATCCTCTTCGTCGTACTCGCGACCTCCTTGGCGAGATTCCCTTCGTCTTTTTCCGATCCCCTTGGAGCGCCTCGAGATTCTTCCGCAGCTCTAGCGTTGCATGGAATATCGCGTTTAAATTATCAGCGGCCGAATATCGAGCGGAATGCGGCGAGAGAAATTCGATTCGCGCGCGCGGTATTATAGCGACTTTCGGAATCTCGGCGAGGTGTTTCGTTCTCACGTGAATGTTATTGAAATAAGTCTACTGCGAGCCGAGATGCTAACATCCTTAATGCGATATTGATATAACAGATGATAGATGCAGTTCTGTGCAAATTCCCGAGCGAAAGAATCGATTAAAGTGAATAAAAAATTATATCGCAGTTAAGGTGAGAGATAAGGGTGATAAAAGGCTGCCGGAGTGCAACCTAACGAAGATGGAATCGCTCGTAAATAAAATCCCGAATCCAAACCGGTTGAAGTCTAATTCCGAAGAGGCTAAGACCGGAACTAACCCGCTTTTCAAAGCTTTCTTGGCGAGCTCCCTTGTTTTCGTTTTTGCTCGGCTGATTTCCCGGATCTCCCTTTTAGCTCTCCTCACGTCTTCCATCATGACGGCGAGTTCCTCGGGCGGCGCCATCATCTCTTGGAGAAAACGAATTCCTTTTATCTTACTACACTTTCTGGTGGGATCTTCGCGCTTATGAGCGCGCAGTAGCTCCGTCCAGGACTTTTTTTTCCTCCATCTCATTTTGTCCCCGCTTCCGATTGACGTTCTTGTCTCGACGTCGTCCTTCAATCTCGCTTCCTCTTTCCATTTTCCGCGATCTTTGACCGCTCGATCTGCAAACCTAACGCCGGCGGTTTAATCGTATTTTTCTTGCGGATTTTATTTAAGCGAAAGGAAGTCGAGCGGAATATAAAACGTTCGTGCGAAATAAACGTTATCGAAAAATCCGGCAACACGTCACGTAATCTTAACAATGTAATTTTAATCACTAAGACTCTGACGTTCGCAATATATCAAGAAGAAAGTGCAATTTTTTAAAAATATCTTACTATTGATATACGATTAAAAAGACATTGCTATAAGAAAAATATGAAATTAATGAATATCTGCTATGTCTGTCAGGAAATTATTAATGTTTCTTAATATTACTATTATTAAATACGAATTAATGCTAGTTTAATTAAAGAATCACAATCTTCTCAACAATGTCTTTCTAAAAACAGTTGTTTGAATTTACATTAAGTTCATGCACCGTACCTAATTTTTAACTTTCCGATCCTGCGGCAGCAGATGTCAGGTTTGCAGATACCGATTTTACACGGTCTCGGCAATCTGAAAGTGGCGCGCTTCTTCAGTCGCTTCTTCGGTCGCTTCTTCAGTCGCTTCTTTGGTGCCATCTTCCTGCGTTTTCTCTTGCTAATTTCCTCTACAGGAGATTCCACGATCGCTTCCACCAACAAGGGTCCTTCCGTCGCTGCCTTCTCTTCTTCAACGTCCTGCGCTATTTCCGTTGTAGGAATCTCGGCAATTTCAGTTCTCTTTCGACCGGGCAATATTTTCTTGGGCAACTTTTTTGTCTCGATTTTCTTTTCTTCTTCTGTAATCAAAGGGGATTCTTTCTCGATTTTTCGAGTAGCGAGTTTTTTCATAGATCGAATTAGTTTTACAGGTGAGATAGGTAATTCTTCGTCCTCCTCGTATTTTTGTTTTTCCTGTGAATTGCAGAAATATAATATAGATTAAATGTGATGAAACAAATTGTTATTTATTTAATTATTTTTACTGTATTAGATGCAAATATTTAGAATATATAATTGCATACAATTAAAATCAGTTTGGTATGTAACAATAATTTTAATAATCTTCTCTCTTTGATAATATTTTGATAATATTTGAGTATGTAATGAGAAATAAGAGGAAATGGTAAATAAATTGTTTAAAAAACAGCACTCAATTTAGCAGATATTAAATTAATTATTTCTGATTTGATATAAAATTATTATTGATAATTAATTTGTATAATTTGTTCAATGTCGGATTTACATTTTCAAAAACTACATTAATTATGGTTATTATTGTGCAATATTTTGTGCGACAGTACACGATAAATCACGAAGAGTAAAAGGTCGCAGTCGAATAAAAGAATGATGAAATATTGCGAAAGTTCGCTAATGTATAGCGGCTAGCTGACTGTGAGTGATATATTAGAAAATTTTATATTAAACCTTGGAAATAAAAGAAAACGTGTTAGAAAGAGGAATAATAAAATAGAAAATTTTATTTATAACATTTGTACTTGACCGATACAGCAAAATTAGCGCAACTTTTTATTGATACAAAATTTGGCAAAAATATATCTTGCGAAAAATCCGAAATAATTACTTTAATCTTACCTTCTTGACAATATCGAAAAATTTGTCCTCGGCTTCTTGAAGTTCGGGAGACTCGTCTTTAAGTTTTCTCCTGGATACTCTGCTGAGTTTTTGATCCTTTGGCTTCTGCTGCATCTTTTGTTTATTGCGATTAATTACTATGGCCCGTTTATCCTTCTTTTTGTCTTTCGCATCTGTCAATGTAATCTCTGGCATTTGTTCTACGGCAGTTCTCGCTAATTTTATTTCTTTCATCCGCGAATCTATTGCCTTCACGAAACGAGAGCATTCTTCCAGGTACTGGCATGGATCGGAAAAAGCGTAATAAACATCGTGTTTATTTTACATTTCAATTTAACTAAACGCGTTTTACAGATTTTTTGCACATTTGTAAGATTTAATTATAGTACAGTAAACTTTAAATAATTATACAAAACAGATTAATTTTATCACATTTTTATCGATTATAAAATATTATCAATGTTATATCTCGATTTCTCTCGATATCTGTCCGTTACATACATATTACTGCTTGTAAATTGATTTTGCGCTAGAAATGCGCGAGAGAAAATTGAACGCTCACCGACGTGAGATCGTTCTTTTCATTTTTGTCGAATGAATATAGCGCCTCCGTCGATTCAATGAGGTAAACGTTGCCGGCGGAATTTCCGACGGCTAGTAAAATACCCGTCTCGTGTGCTGCAATTGCAGTTAATTTCTGCTTGCAGAGTTTCATTGACAGTATTGGGTTCTGTAGACCCACCAGAAGATCCCACACGGTCAATATGCCGGAACGCGTCGCTACGTAAAATATTGAGTGTCTCGTTTTGTTCCAGCAACCGCAGGCGGGGTTCTCGACTATAAACCTAATTAATATTTACGCGATAAGAATTTCATTAATTCATTAATAAAATCATTTTGGACATATATTCGAAATTTAGAGAAACAATTATAATATATATATTTATAGATTTTAATTATATTATTACGGAAATCAATATTGTCTTTCGGAAATATAAAAAATTAATGGATGCACATGCTTATCTATTTCAGCATTAAAAATTAATTGAACATTTGTACAATAAATTTTCGATTAGTTTCAATATCTACCAAAATTACGACAAGCGACTTTTACTTTAACACTGATTTAAATAAATCACAAAAAGTAAGCGATAAAAAAATCAATGCCGCCGACTTTCAGCGCTAATTTCTAAAACATTACATTCTCTAAATAGAAGTTTTCTTTTGATTTATCTGATAAAAGCATCAATTGGAAAAAGTATCTTTTTTTTTATGAAATAGTTTATATCGAATCCTAAAGTCACTTTTCTCACAGATTCAAGTATAATTTGTTATTTTGTCGGAAAGAAAAATACCTCGTCGACACAAGACTACCATCCTTAGTGTCCTCCGTCCAGACGCGGGCTGTGCAGTCGCCTATAGTCAGGAAGATCTTCGGATTGAAGCCGCTGCGATCGACAGAAAGAATCGGGCCGTAATGGGCGTCGAATCTTAGAGCCATTTTTTCGGCCTGCGTTCTCGCCTTTTTCGAGCCGCTGATCACGACGCCGTTTTCCAGACCGAACATGAACTTCGTACCCACACTAGGTTCGTAGTCGGCCGACGCAACTCCGATCGCCCGATCCATCTGCGGCTCGTTCGGCGTCTGGAGATCGAACACAAGAACCTCGGTCGGCTGTCGCAGTTTCCTGGTGTCCCACCACATAGCTCGGCCGTCCGACGAGCCCGAGAAGAACTCCGTGTTGCTCTTTGTGGCAAGCCACTTCACCACTGTTGTGCAATCTCTTTAAAAGCGCAGGAAATTGCACACGCGGCATTACGAAGATGGGCACGCTTTGTAAATTAATTGCGCCGTTACTTCAATTACAATAGCGCTTTGATTATTAATAATTGTTTATATCTGAAGGATGTATAAGTATCTTCTCTATGTGCAGAGAGAGAGAGAGAGAGAGAGAGAGAGAGAGAGA